TTGCCTGAAAGATACGCCACAAGGGCTATGTTGCATATTTTGGTCAAAAATTTTTCAAGCCTGCAAATCTGTGTATTCAAAACTGTCTTTTCTATGAACAATTCCTGTATCATATTTTTGCAAGTACACATTCATGCAAAGCCCTTTTTCTTTTTTTTGACTCTTTCATGAATAGAGATATATATTCAGAAATTATTAATACTTGCCTCCATTCTCACTGAGAGGTGGTATCTACTTCAAAAACTTCTTTTACTAATGTTTAATTCCAAGGACTATGCAGGAATCCACAATCACAAAGCTAATCACATATGTTTGACTTTAGTGCAAGTATTACAAATGCTGAAAAGATCAGTGACTTAGCAGTTCACTTTGTGACACCACAAATCTGAATGTGTGAAAGGAAATTCTTTGAGAAAACTAATCTTTTCAGGAATTGAACCTGTTCAAAGCTGATGCAGAGATGAAGAACCAGCACCAGTATTTTAAATTAGATTCAAATAAATGCACACATCCTACATTTTCTCTCCTCCTCACCACCACCCTTCTGACTAGTGAGGGCTGTTAGAAACTTTCAGTTTCTGAAGCTAATATCTGCAGATCCCTATCCTAGAGATAGAGTAAGTGTCAAGTGAGGGTACACAGACAATTCCCATGTGGATGAAGGAAGATGGGATGGAGCATACCTTAAGGATGAGTCTGCAATTCATTTCAGATACAACAACATATATCAACCTACAAAAATTGGCAGTCTTATTGTGTTCTCTGTGGTCAGTACTTACCTCCATATTTTCAAAACATTTTTTCTCAGTATTTTCCCAACTGTTTCATGAGTAAAAAGGCTTCTTTATTCATAAAACATGAGCATGAACATGCATTTTATGTTCAGTTGTAAAAGCTGGACCTTGTATTTAAATGATGAACAAACTGCAGAAGAATGTCTGTCTACTGGTAAGCACTTCTTTCTATAAAGGCATGCTGCTCTACTAGTACTTTTTAAACTCCTCCAAAAATCATAAATTCCTGACTATGCTCTCTCTTCCTCACTTAGCCACAGACAATGTGTTATCCCTACCTTTGGCTGGTGGGACTAAAGTAATGATCAAACGTTATCAAGAAATGATTTCTTCCTTCTCAACTAAAATACCCAATTCTTGCTTGGTGCTTTTTAATTCCAGTGTTAGAATTGCAAGCCAGGGAAGTGTGATTAGTGGCCACACAAAAAATCTGTGTGTATGCCATTACTACTGCAAGCACAACTTATAAAAGGCTTTCAAGGGTATGTAAACCAAGCAAACAAACAAATTAACTAGTGTAATCCATGTAACTCCTGATTCTAGGAAGCATTTTTAAAAATATCTCATTTGTTTTTTTTAAAAAAATAGATTCCCTTTTCCCTTCAAAAGTAAATATAAAGTTCATGGTGTCATTTTAATCAGATGTAATGATCAAGTCAAAGGAATCATCATAAAAGATAACCTTTATACTGGTACATTTGGTAAAGAAACTAGAATTCCCAAAAGAACTAAAGAGGTTAACTAGGGGACATAGCTAATCTGTCTGTCTTAGTTATATTCTTCTATATGTATGGGACTGTGACTCTATGAAAATTAGTTCTGTTTATTATTCACAGATTTCTTTAAAATAAGGAAAAATATATTAAATAAAGTATCACTGTGAATGAGCTGACAGTAATATAATCAGTTACAAAGCAACTAGAAAAATTGTGTTGCCTTTTACATGGCACATGAGAAAGCTATCTCACACTTAGCAGGATCATCATTGCTTTAATAAATAACAAAGTTTGTAAGCAACCTATGTATGTAATTCATCATTTTCTCACTAGTCCTTTCAAAATTGAAATACCATGAGGAATAGATATTGAAGACTGTCAGGGATATCATGAATTAAATTTGCAATATAAAATATTTTCAAAAAAAACTGGCAAAGGGATAGACATAAAAATGTGGCAGGGATAACTTAAATTTGCAATATAAAATATTTTCCAAAAAAATTGGCAAAGGGATAGACATAAAAATGTGGTTACATTTCAATGCAAAACCCCACCATAATTTTTTTTTTACAATTTTTATTCAGGCCTAACTCATGCTAGCTTAAATTTGCAATATAAAATATTTTCCAAAAAAATTGGCAAAGGGATAGACATAAAAATGTGGTTACATTTCAATGCAAAACCCCACCATAATTTTTTTTTTACAATTTTTATTCAGGCCTAACTCATGCTAGGGGCAAAACCCCACCATAATTTTTTTTTTTATACATTTTTTTATTCAGGCCTAACTCATGCTAGGGACAACTTCCTCAAATATGGTCTATATTCCTAGGTTTAACTGCAAGTTTAAGTTCTCTTTCATAAATTAAAACTTTGCTTCTTGTTCTGCATGAAGCAAAGATAATTCAAAGTTATGATTGCTGGTTTTCAACAGAATTATATATGCAGTGTTATAAATGTTAAACACCTCATTAAAATCTGTTTTTTCTTTTAGCAGACACAAGGAACAATTTTTCCTGCTCCAAACTTTAACCCTATTATGGATGCCCAGTTGCTAGGAGGAGCTCTACAGGGAATTAGTGAGTATCCTTCCCAATTCTAACACATTTCCTTTTTTTTCAGAAAGTTCTCATAAAACAAGAAGTATGACACCAAATAAAAACTCATTAAATTAGGAGTGTCACCACCTATCTCTTAATTCTTCAAGGAATCACAGAAAGACACATTTTGATGTCCAATGATGTATTCAATGTCCAGCTACATTTGTGTCAGAGTAGAACCTGACAGTTATAGACTATATGACAACATCTGCCTTACAAGGGGGTGACAGGTACAGAATGTGTGTCTGTAACATATGCATACATGCCTATATAATGACTACTAGAAATTTGCCTAATTCATCTCTGTTGCAAGTGTGATAAAGTCAATTGATTTACCCTCAGAGATATATTTATGCTGGAATGTCACTAAAATAGCCATCTGAAATTACCAAAGGGCAACTTTTGGGATGCAAAAACAATTTTTAAAATCTAAAATAATTTTCTTAATATGTTCATCATCTTCTTTTTCATAAGCAATAAATATAGATCCATTATAGAAATTTAGCAGTATGCTCTCATCAAGCAAAATAACCTAGGTAACCTTCAATAAAATGCCCTTGGAAATGAGGTAAAATACTATATTTTTTAAACTTTATAACTTACTTTATATAGTTCTTCTGAAAATATAACTTTGAGTTTTACAACAAATGGTCTGACCACAATTTGTCATCCTCATAAAAGAGATCCCTAATCCTGAAATGGCAATTTAAACAATATTAATACTAATACAGTACAAGTATGACTTCCAAGGCTCAGCCATAAATCTTGCTACTGGGCCTAGTTCTGAATAAATGAAAACCTGTGTCTGTTTTATTGACGCTTTCAAATCCATTGAGCTTGAGAGAGGTGATGATGCATCTAGTAATAAAAGACTATTTCACTTTTTGATGCTACTACACAAGGAACTGCAAAATACATAAGCACAGTAAATATAACTGCCGTTGGTAAATACCACTGGGATATTACTCTGATCTATTTTTTCAAGAAATTAGTATAAGGTTCTTGAGCAAAACATGAATTCACCATCCCTGGAGGTTTTCAAGATGAGACTGGATGTGGCACTTAGTGCCATGGTCTAGTAATGATGGTAGGGTTGGACTCGATGATCCTTGAGGTCTCTTCCAACCCGGGTGATTCTAGGATTTTATGAACAATCACAATTGTAAATAAATAACAACACATTGTTAATTTAGAGTCTCTGTCATGTTTCCTTTACAGGTTGTGAAAAAGATGTGTTGATTGATATTCTAACTCAGCGTTGCAACTCACAGCGACTTATGATTGCCGAGGCATACAGAGACATGTATGGCAGGGTACGGCAGAGTCACTTTGTACTTTCATTACCTCTTTCTCTCCTGTCTCGAGTGCAGTTGGCCAGCCCTTCTCTCAGGTCAGTCACTGCAACCAAAAGACTGCCAGACAGCTGGCTGGCACCAACAGGTTGGCACACAACTTTGCTCGTGTAATTATTGATGCCTATGATGGCTTCAGGTTGTCACTTATACAGCAGTAGAAGTGTCTGCCACACACAAAGTTAGAAATGGACATGGAAAAATTTATTTTTCTATAGTTCGTTCTTCTCTATTGACCAACTCAAAATTTCTGAACCAACTTATTTCTTTCTCTATGTGTTTTTGGGGGTTTCTGAATTGTATTTTTCAAGATTTTGGAATAAATAATACGTGCTTTTGGGGGTTTCTGAATTGCATTTTTCAAGATTTTGGAATAAATAATAAAATATTATTGTAACCAAAGAAAAACACCATCCCAACCATTACAGGCTTTGTTACCTTATTCACATACTGATTAATGTTCTCATGTAAAGCACTGACACTCTCAGACATTCCATGAAATTCCATCTATACAATCAGCACTCATCTGAGCTGCCTAATGCTAATTTCATGAATCTTTGAAAGGTGTTTTAAAAATTTTAAGCCATAAAAAACTGGCCCTTTTGTTCAATTTTATTTTATGCATATTTACTGTGTATAACAATGTAATTTTTGTTATGAGTTCTTAAACATACACAGAGATAGATATCCTCATTCTATTTCCAGATCTACTATTGCTAACCAAGTAACTTTGGGAAAGTTGCAATGCCTGCATTTTCCTCAGTTACCACACCTATATAAGGGCAACAATATAGCAATACTTTTTGCAAAATCCCTGTGAAATCCAGTGATGAAATGTGCTGTATTGAACTAGATAGTATTGGAAAGGTAAAGAAAAATGCTGTGATTAAATTGACCAGACATGCCCTTCCCCTAAGAGAAGCCAAACACTTAAAATCCATCTTTCTTCTTTTCCTGAAGCTTGTAAAACTAACGGCTCTTCCTTGAAGGTCACTATCTGCTTGACATTGAAACGATTAGCATGAATAACAACAGTGAGTTTGCACAAATGCTACCACACAAGTATCAACTCTAACTAGAGTTAACTAGAAATTATTCATTCAAAAACGCCACATGATGTGGTACTGTTACATCACCAGTTTGTTAACCAGTAGAACAGTGTATTTTCTTCTTTGGGTAGCCAAGAATTCTTCCAGAGACAACCTTTGTGCCACCTGTATATCAAAATATCTCACAACCACTGACCTTTAAATATGCTGAAACATCCACTTATTCTCCTAGAATTGGGGGGGAAAGAGCTGGATTTAATCCATGTAGTGGGTTGATTTTGTGTTGTTACTCATTTATAGGAGATCACTGATTTATTTGGACTGTTAGAAAAAAAAGACACAATATTTTCCATATTTTAGATGTAGCCTTGAATGAATATGTTTTAAACAGACCATAAAAGAACAATAACTGAATCAGAGCTATCCACCTTCCAAAGACTGTGACAAGGATTGAAATCACTGCACCCAAATGATTAGAAGTGGTTTTCTATTATGGGGTATTTATTAGGTTACCATTACAAGTGCAAAGCACCTAAATTCAGTGTTTATCCATGCAACATTCCTCACTTAATCTTACTTATACAAAACTTTAGCATGTCAAGCTACCCAAAGGTGCCTGTGACAGTAAAGCACTCAAGTCCATTCTTTCCAAGTGTTCTTTAATCACTGGACAGTGCTCCTTCTCTAACCATCCACAGCAGCTGGTTGGTTTGTTTTGACCTTTTCATTAGAGTGTTTCAACTGGACCTATCATTTGAACAAGAGAAAACATTTAAAAGCTCTGTATCATGTTTCAGTCTTTCACTTCTTACCTCTGATACATGAAGATGACCTAGAGATAACACTTATGATCTCTCAATAAAGAATTGGCAAATGTCCTTCAGGAACAGAGTTATGATTTGCCATATTTAGTATTCATAGAGAATAATTATTGAACTAGCTCACCACCAATCTAGTTGGCTTTTCAAATCAAAAATAAAAATATAAGCAAAAAAATAAATCCCTATGATGATCTCTTTAAATTCAAACCTCTGTCAACCATACTGAGTCAACCTGAAGTGCTACAAAGCTAGTGGCCATGGACCAGGAGATCTAGAAGAAAGAAAAAAGCTGAAGGAAACCTCAGATGCCCTTTTTAGGAATTTCAGTCTCTGTATCTATGAATAATAATAGAACAGAAAGGCAACAAACTGTTTTCATATTCCAGCAATGGGCTACAGAAAATTCTGAAACTCATGAACATATTGCATATATGCCCACAATTTTAATTTAAAGGAATTCATTAAGCACTGGGTACACTTCATAGCAGAAGATATGTCAAGATGCTCTTGACAGTTTTAAAAAAAACCCACCTAGTTCTACCTTTTTTTTGTCTCACCTGTGGCAGCAGACATACTGAAATGGTTTATCTGGTTAGTGTCCCACACATTTCATTTGACTGATGACTAGTTTGCTATCTAGCACCGGAACTGCTGAACAGAATGCTATGCGTCTTGCCCTGAATTGCAGCAATTTGTGCTTCAGAAGATAATCTAGCACACACCAGTGCTAGCATTTCCCTGGCTGTAATCTGTCCTAATGGTCATTTTGCATTGAGCAAATGTGCCATTCAGCAGTCCCAGTGTATGAGTGGTAAGCATGGCAGGACAGAGGAGACACATGGCAAGGCAACAGTTTTAGCCTTCTCAGTTCAATTATGGTAAACCTGTTGGTTCAATCCTTTTCCCTCTTAATTTCACTTCATCAGATCAATATAGTAGCCACTACGCAAATTCATTAGAGAAATGTAAACTGTGACATATTAGAAGGAGAGATATATAAAAAAAGTAAAGAAAGCCCTGAACTGGCTGCATGATTCAGACAGAGAAGATTTAAGACTTTCTTACAATTTGCCTTCAGGGATTTCTTACACCAAAAATGATTAAGAAATTATAATAATGACAACTTAAGAGTTGTGTTTTCTTATTTTTCAATACTTTACTTAACTTCTGATTTTTAGGAGTATTTTAGGAGTATCCATTTGGATTATTAATCCATTTTCCCACAGGCATGTTGTCAGAAGCAAAATGTCGAAAATGGATTAATATAACAGGCATGTTGTCAGAAGCAAAATGTCTTAATGAATTAATTTCTATTCCATGTGTGATTTAGTGGTTGTCAAATGCATCTAATGTGCATTCACTGAAGACCGCATATGTTTCTTTGTAATAAATTTAATTCTTAATGTGCATATATCCTCCTTGATTGCTACTCTTGCTATTAATTTTATTCAGAAATGTCTCAAAACCAAAGTATGAGCCTGAAAGAGACACAGATCCCAAAACATAATAGTTTATATAATGGGAACTGTTTCTGGTACTCCTTTCAGTTCAGACTTAGTTCAGAATGTATCTGACAGTTTTCTAGTGCTGCACACAAAACATTTTAAAAAAAAAAAAAAAGAATGCACAAGTATCCTCAATCAGAAAGACCAACAGTATAATTAACAAGCTTTTGGCATTTGCAGCATTTCAAAGGATTCTACGAGGAAAGGGAAGAGTGGGGAGGAAACTCTTATCCATTACTCAGCTATCTGGCAAGCAAGAACTGAGACCCATAAAGTGGAAGGGGGAGGTTCTTTATTGTTAATCCAGCATCTGTCAAGAGCAGTGAATTCAGTCTGAATTTAAAATATACCTAAATTGAAGCACATAACCTTCCAGCAATCCAAAGCAAATATTTTTATGTTCTAGGAGGAATACAGATGATTTTTAAAATTATTCACATAGTGAATGACACTGAAAAAAAGTACAAGAAATCACCTGTGTTCTATGGGATTCAATTTCCAAAGCTGCTTAGCTCCAACAGAACAGGGACTATGCCAAGGGAAGCTGCAGATGCTCTGCCATGATACTCAATTTTCCAAGACTTTAAGTAGCAATTGCACTTAAACCCCTGCATTTTCTTCTGTATTCTAATGAACCAAAACCCAAAAATCCATTGTGGCCTACTGACTTGTGCATCTATTCTCATTTCACCCACACTAATAGAACAAGCAGGTACTATTTAGAAGAATATTTTTTTACTTAGTCCTAGACAGAATTCATTGTCAACAGTTCATCCTTATTCATTTACAGAGAAAACCACTAATACTTTTTTAAAGCTCTCTTAAGAAAGTGACTAGTGAAATAATCCTGTCTGTGGATTTTCTTTTTCTTTTCAAGGATCTGATAGCAGACCTGAAAGAAAATCTCTCTCATCACTTCAAAGAAGTTATGGTTGGCTTGATGTATCCACCTGCCTCCTATGATGCCCACGAGCTCTGGCATGCCTTGAAGGTAGTTGTCAAATTCAGAATTGCTTAGTGTTGCAGTCACTAATTAGAGTACTGAACATGTGTCAAATTAATTTTTTGACATTTAATTGGTAGATAAACTGCTGGAAGTTAGCACACTGGAGTACTGTACTATCATGAAGGTCATCAGAAATACAATGCTGTATGAAGATTATTCATTGGCATGCTAAAACCTGCATAAATAATATCCTTGTCATGTAACAAATACAACTCATTTAAATCCCATGGTAAACTTGGTAAATGAAGAAATATTTAAACAGGGAAATGTAAGGCCCTGTTGTTGCAAGCATTCATGTATGTTACAAACAAAATTTATTTGCACAGCCAGTGCCATGCACTAAGACTCCACCTCTGAAAAGACCAATGCTTCTATAGCAGAACACCTCTTTGCATAAACACAAATTACTCTGTGACAAACCAATGATCACTCCACTCAAACTGAACTGATGGCACATTTTGAAGAAAATATTTCTTTTTCTTCCCAGGATCTGAGACTGTGCACCTTACACAACTGAAATTTTGAAACAAACAAAACTATTTTTTTCAAATATCATGTAATTAAACAGTGAAATCATTCCCACAGGACATTGTGGAGGCCAAAAGCACATATCAGTTCATAAAGCACTTTTTAGAACTATTGATGTGTTTTAATTACAGTTGGCACTAAAAGAATTGTGAAATATCATTGGCAACAATGGAATCATGTCCTTTATTGACATTATTGACAAGACTGCCAAAGTTTATTTTTTTCTAAATGTGGCTCAAAGTTGAACTTTCTTATAGCATTCTATCTTGATCTGGATTCATATGGCCAAAATACAAGGACAGGCCACTTGTGTCTACAGGCTCAGGCTTGATGTTGTGTCCTCCCGTAATCCCAAATGCCAAATACTCACCAACACTATCCATGTGCATATCAAAAGCAGCATATGCAGCGTATCTTACGACAATTCAAGTTTATAAAATTAATGTAAATCCTGTAGGACATTCTTACTAAAACTCTAAAGTTCTTCTCGTTATGTTTCTGGCAACGTTGTCTTGCTTAATTCCCCACTTGCAAATGTATACACTGAAATACAGATTAAGTAGGGAAATATTTTTAAATACAAGATTTTACTATTAAAGTAATTGTCTATTTAAACAGGTATATTATCTCTAGGTACACTCTGCACTGCTCTTGCAGAGACTGCTATTCTTTTGCTGCTTCTGATAAGCACAACACTGTTGTCTTCTAAAAACTGTGGTTTCTACTAAAAACACCTTTTTATATTTACCTCTTTCCACACAGGGAGTAGACACAGAAGAAAACTGCCTAATTGATATATTAGCCTCAAGATCAAATATGGAGATTTTCCAGATGAAAGAAGCCTACTTAATGCGTAATGTTTGGGGTTTTTTAACAAGTGCACAGTAGCCGTTGTACTATGTCTGCTCTGGAGGTACTAGCACACACAGAGCAACAGAACTACAAAAATGACTCCTCAATACTGACTGGTTTCCCTCCTCCTCTCCCATGACTATATACGAAACAGGCTGAAGCAACATGGGTGGGTGGAGAGGCGAGTGGGGACAGCAGCTCAGGCCCCCCCAGCAGGGCCAGACAGACCTGCCAGCCCCATGGCTCGGTCCCTGTAGAACCTGCACAGGTTACAGTGGAATAAACACCACAGAAAATGGACAACTATTTGAACACTATTTATTTATCCTTTGTTTGATAATCTTCATTTGTACTACTCAGAGCATGTTCATTTGTGATTTAGATTATATCCTTTTGGTTTAACCTAGAATATAATACTGATCTTCAACAAGATATCGACTCTGAGACTTCAGGTCACTTCAGAGATACACTCATGAACCTTGCTCAGGTACTGTAAAAACAAGTAGTATGACTTATATTTCTAAAATATTCATAATGACTTTTGGTACTATTTGACAAGTCTTAAGTTTTAAGGTGACTGTGGTTAAAGCTAGTTCAATAGGGCTACACTTTTGAACAACAGAATTGCAGAAAACAGCGAGGAAGAGAAACTGAATTCCTTCATCTACTTTGACTTAGATTTTACCTTTCAGACGGAGGCAAAGGTTAACAGGTTATTTTATGAAGTCCCCTGGGTATTCAATTGCTGACCCTCTGCTCTACCCGTCTCATCTCAAAAGAAGTCTTCTTGCATGGACAAATGAGATTCTGATTTTTAAAGCTTGGTTTTCTCCGTTATTAGAAATTATCATAATCCAGTTGAAACATTATGTGAAAATGGAGCTATAGCCACATTTGGCTAAAAAATAAAGTATTCAAAAGTTCTCTGCTTTAAATATGATGCTCTTTGTGCTACTGCATATGCTGAATCACAGCATATTTGCACAGTGTCACTATTACGCACCAATTTTTGCAGTTTTATCTGTTTGTAGTTTTATGCAACAAAGTTGGTCATCCTTGTCAGATCATAAAATCCCATTCTCATTGCAGTCGCTGTGCTCATTATCTTAAAAACCTTTTGTAAACCAGAGTAACAAATAATGACAAAACAACAATCAGGAAATAGCATAATACATAAGGTATATCTGTACTTTTATCTATGTTTGTCTTGGGAAAAAGTTCTTACAGAGATTTTAAATAGCAGCAGGCTTCACAAAGGTACAAAGAGCAGATGTTGCAAGAGTAGAAGCTATAAACAGGAAACATGTTTTTCTCTCCTTTGCTTAAAAACGAAGACCTAGAGGTTAAGCAAGCTCACTTATATTTTTCTCTCCTTTGCTTAAAAATGAAGACCTAGAGGTTAAGCAAGCTCACTTCTCACCTTTATTAAAACCATGGGACATATTTCATCAAATGAGCCAAATTTAAAATAATCTGAGATGATATTATTAGTCCTTATTTTCTTAAACCACAGATATTGCTAAAGAGACCTGAAACCAGCAACTTCTTAGCTAACAAGATCTGCTACTTTTCTCAAGATAAACAAGAGTTGCAGGAAATTTCAACCTTATTCAGTTATACTGTATACTTCTGAAGATTGTTGCTCAAATCGCCATGTTTGGATATGATCTTATAATAAAACTCAGTGATATTTCATTAAAATATAACCTTTCTAGTTCCTTTACCACGCATCTTACAGGAGATTATATATAGTAACATTTCCGATGTCGTCTCTAATGCTTTTTTTAGACACCCTTTGCTTCAATTCCTATTAAATCTTGGGACTGAGGGCACACATCTGACCACAGATAGAAGTAAATGTGCTCCACATATGGAAATCAAACTATTCAATTGCTATACTGTCATATTTAGTTTTCATGTCCAGCCTGAGGCAGATTAAAGCTATAGGTTATAGTCCTTTCTAAATAAATTAACAGATTTACAAATCCAGGCTAATTAATATTCTAGTCTGAGGCAAATAGATTTTATTCTAATTCTCTTTTACTGGGTATTAATTGAAATATGATAATTTTTTTCAATTTAAAACATAATTATACAAATGTGGGTATTTGACTCATGTAGAGCATTGTTTATTTTATTGTTTACTTGTCTTTATTTCCTGTGTTTTCTTGTGTATGTAACTTTATGCAGTCATTCCATCATAACTTGCTTCAAGTAATTTATCTTGTTACTAGGAATTTCACTGGGTGAAATTCTTACCATTTAATTAAATATAAATTAACATTTTTAACAAGAGCTTCAAATCAGTCACTCTACAAGCTGACAGCCAATACACACGGTTTTAATCCTACCTTTCACATACAGGGTAAAATGACTGTAAATTTTAAACTACATTTCTTCAAACATGTATTATTAAGGCAATGATTACATGAGATTGAGATTGTTAAGAGTTCTGCAACAAAGGTTGATTTGTATCCTTACAAGAAGACTATGGTTAAAAAAGAAATTCCAAAGTTGTGTGCTCTTCTCCTTTTCTAACAACTATGTAATTCAGATCATAGTGTGTTTACTAAAGAATTTAGCTTGGTTAATGCAACTGAAAATCCATTAAATGTATGGGGAAAATTAGAAGCATTCTTTTGTGGTTTATGTAACAAAGTTGTCAAACAATTTCCTAGTCTTGGATCTTAATTTCAGACGATGATTATAAGCAAGCAAAATCTCAATTATCTGACAAGCTTGCTCCTATGGTTTGTGCAAGGAGAAAAAATACTAAGATTCTTCTGGTAATATTGATAAGAAATAATGAGTGAATGGCAAATGCTACTCTTATCCTTGTTTTCCCCCTCAGAGTTACACATTATAGTAAGCAATATAACATCCACAATACTGAAAATTGTGGTGGGATGGTGGTGGTCAGGTAAAAGCTTATTTAAAATGTGACTAAAAGTGGGATAAGTTTATCCACTTCCCCCAATTTTTTTCTCTCACAAGACTCTTAGTCATTCCAGAGTTCCTCTTCTTAAAGAAAATGAAGACTTAAAGTGACAACTTGAGGATATTTTGTACATTTGCAAATTCAATCATGGTATATACTGATTCAATCTAAAAGCCCCCATATGTTATCTCAAAACATGCAACATAGCTTCATAAAGAGAGATCTTTATATTCCTACAGTGTTCTAGGATTTCACTTTTGAAGAAAATTAAACCCTTTTTTTTCCCCCAGGGAACAAGGATGGAAGGATATGCAGACCCTTCTACAGCTGCTCAGGATGCAATGGTAAATATGCTCAGATGTGAGCTTCTCAAACATAAAAAGAAATACAAATGTTGAAAAGTGACTTAGGACTTAAAATATTTTGTGTTTCCTTTTTGTGCTATATTAGATTCTATGGGAAGCATGTCAGCGGAAAACAGGCGAACACAAAAACATGCTGCAAATGATTCTCTGCAACAGAAGCCACCAGCAGTTGTGGATTGGTAATTCAGCAGTTCAGCTGTTTGAACATAGAGTGGAAAGGAAAAGATCTGACTTGCTAATAAAGGCATGCTCCAAATACCAAGAAGCCCAGTGTGCAGCAGGATATTAGCCTGAAACCAAAGTGAACTTCTGGAGCTCTGAGTCTCACTGATGTTAATGGGATTTTGGAAGTAATGCAAAACTGAACTTTGCCTGATGACTACTGACAGCTGTAGACAGAACAGTCAGGCATCAGGATGCCTAAAAACAGAGGGATGAATGCATGACCAAAGAAAAGCATATGCTATGGCTACACTGAGTTTACACACAACAAAACAGGACGAGGCAGTTTTTTCTTAACTATTCTCTTCAGTTTTCCTAAGTAACTCTTATGAAGGGACACACATTGGGAGAGGCAGAGGGAGTATTTTCAGCAAATGTTTGTATGCGAAAACACATTGTTGTGCTGAAGCTTTTCCCAGGAAGTTTCAAAGAGTTTTTTGATGGAAGCACCTCAGTGTCCACATTGCTTGCCTGTAATGAACACACACACAGAAACATAAGGGTCATTTTCATTTAAAATAGAAAATCAGGCATAATTACAGATTGTAAGAAATTTATGTAAGCTCATCCAGATCTTCCACTGTAGAAAAGATACCCATTTCATCTGTTTGGTGACAAGTTTGAGTCTTTGCTCTGCAGTGGAAAAACAGCCTGTCTGGCAACAAGTTTGTCACTGTGCAGCCAGCTGTATTCTTATGTCAACTTCTAACAGTACCTTAGAACTACTTTGCTATCATGGATCAACAAATTAATTCAGCTGGTGATGACTGGATTAGCATAATGTAACACACCTGCTTATGTTCTGCTCTCTTCCTGAGATTTGAGGGCTCTGCCTGTGTTGTAGTCCTCCAGTAGCTTTGTAGTGAGCAGTGAGCAGGAAATTTTCTTCTATTCTTAAAGGAAAAAGCACACCCTGTATATTTGCATGTCTGGATGCCTATATCATGCAGAGAGTGTCCATGTCTGGATACTGACATATGACGCATTGGCTTCTTTTAGCCAAGCTGCTAGATAATTTATTAAAGTTTCCAGTGAAACAGAGGCTTTGGCATACATTCATTTTATACTTCAGACTGAAGAACTCAGGCAGAGAATGCCCTGGAAGCCTGGTCTCCGGCTACTCATTTAGATTGCCTTACCTGGGGAACATAAACATAATGAAACAGAATAATAGGGGGAAAAAACACAACCCAACTCAATAGTTCTCGTAATGGGGGGAAGCAAAGGGGCGGGGGGAAGAAGCCAAAGTTGATCATTATTAAGGAACTAAAATAAACCAAGATTTTTTTTCACCCAAGTTTTCCAGGAGTTCCAAAATATCTCTGGCCAAGACATAGTAGATGCCATTAACGAATGTTATGATGGATACTTTCAAGAATTACTGGTTGCAATAGGTAATGTAAAGGTATAATTTTTACTTGCTGTAATCGATATCTAGAATGTTAGCTCTTGTACTTCCAGAATATTATTTTTCTGATATTTTTATCCACTTTAAAGTCCTGCAATTAAATTTTCAGAAGTAATTAGAAAAGAATATTTTAACCACTTTCCCACATCAAACGCAGGAAATCTAAATCTAAAAATGTATCCATGCAGCACTATCTTCTGACTGAGCAGAACTAGTATCTGTTCTTTATATGATAACAAATTTTGTGTGATCAATGACAACTGCACTTCAAACTAATTTTACACATATTAAACAACTGGCAAAGTTTTCAGGACTTCAGTAGTATACAAACAAGTTTCAAGCTTTATATGCCTTTGTTATTTATTTATAGAATAAGGAAAATAATATTTCTACAAAGATGTCATGTGAGCATATTCAGTGATATTTAATAAGCCCTTCAGTGCAACAGCGATGATGACCCACCCAAAATAAGTACCACACTTTTAAAATTATAAATACAGTCATGTTAGTGAATATTGGTAGTTTAATTTTAAGCTGAGTCATGGAAAGCACTACTTAGCTTTATATTTCAAGAAGCCCAAAGCCAAAAGAAATTATTTCATAATAGCTTTCTGCTTACCCATTGCAACTTTTTTCTCCTAGTTCTCTGCATTCGTGACAAGCCTTCTTACTTTGCTTACAGGCTTCATAAAGCAATTCACGTAAGTAGTCCTTCTTCTTCTTCACATGTCATAAAAAGTAGCTTCCCTATTTTTTTGTTTGCTTGATTATTCTTAAACAAGTACTTACAAATCAGTCTGTTCAATCTTTAGGGTATGATTGCGTGTTTTAAAACATACATAAACACTACATAAACTTCAAAGCAGTAGTGTCTAAGCAACAGTCAGCATTTAGCAGCAACAATAAAGGGTTAAATATTCAGATACCTTAAAACAGTATCTGTCTGCTACCTTTGTAAACTTTTCTTAATTGAAAACATCTCTTTTCTATGGATGGTATCTCCTCCTCCTGTGCAGAACAACATGTGTACTTTTCTTACTGTGCAATACTTTTGTCTCTAGAGATTTAATAAGGATCACTAAAAGTTAAAGATTAAATTAATGTTATATAAAGATAAATGGTTGCATTTTCTTGTGTGGCTCCATGCAGGTTCTTTTATCTTTTTATGTAAGTACTGACATACAAAAATAAATGAGTGGAAATGGGGGTAAAAGAAACACAAATTCCTCCTACTAGGGGGTCACTGAAGACATTTTCTTTAGTTTTTCATTTGTTAGTGAAAATAATGATGCATTACGTTATATAAAACCTAAAGTATAATTTTGTAAGCTTAATATTTTAAGTTTTAACTTTAGAAGATAGTCACAAGAGCTAACCATTAGTAAGGATCATCTCAGAGACTGAATGGAAAAGATAGGATTCCAAGTCAGAACCACCAAAGAAAACTTTTAAGCAACACTTCAAAAGGGCCCCAGTATCCTCATCCAGATGCTGCCACTACTTCTCTCCACTGTTTTAGCTAAACCAGCAATAGTGGCAGCAACCAACCAAGGAAAATCCCAGGAACAGAAGCAGTATTTTGTCTGAGTGATCAAGAGAGGATTCTGGCATGTGACATGAAATAGGTTTGCCAAAAGGACCAGGAAATATCAGGAAAAGTGATGTTTCTCAATGTCCTGTATCAAGACTGCTTCTCAAGTTAAAACCTCCTTTTTAATTTTATGAAATATAACATACACTTTTCTTCTACACTGTATTCAGATGCAGGAAAAAGTTTTCAACTATTAAGAATAAACATCTGCATTTTGTTTCAATTAGTATTTTACTGCTTTCTCAGTGTTTTAATGAACACAGATAACTCTCAAAAGACATGCAAGAATTTAAAATAGTTCTTTTCTTGAAGCCAAGCTATATTCATATTATACCAAAAGCTTTTTATACATCCATTTATAATACAATATAATAAAACCCACACACAACTCTAATGCTTGAAATCATAGTCCATAACAGTGTATAAGAATGCATCATATTTTCTATATGCAGCTTTTTAACATAGCTCATAGGCTGGTGGTTTTTTTGAGAACAAGATTTCAGGATCAATGGGTAGTTAATAAAACTAGGATTTAAAGAATCTAAATTGCTCATCTGTCATCCCAACTCCAAACTTGACCACTTCTACTGCCACTAGATGTCCCCGTTCTCCACACAATTACAATAAGAACATTTCAAACAGTTAAAATAAAACGCGTCTGAACACAAGCTACGTAAATTCCAAAACAATGGTTAAAAAAATCTCACTGCATTCACAGGTGACAGCAGTTGATGTGAACTATATTATTGGCTTCAGTATAGTTTGAATAGACTCTGCAATGCCAGTCACAACTGCTACCCACAAATTGAATTCCTGAGATTACTGACAAAACTTCATTGGCTTTTTCTCTTTAAGTTTCAGTGCATGGTTAAAATAGTGGCATGTGGAGACTCCCTGTTATTCAGTAACATGAATTCTATTATTTGAGCACATGACAACTCTGTAGGATAAAACCCTTGAATGCTTAGGCTCCTTTAAGGTCTAGGATACCTTTATGGGCATATCCCATACACTCTATATGGGTATAACTTATCTTTATCTATAAAACACTAATATGAGCATATATAGAGAGGCAAACACATATTGTTCAACTGTCGAGTTTCCTCTCCTTTTTATTTTAGGACTTTGGGTTTCACAATAAGACAGTTATAAGGATTCTCATTGCCAGGAGTGAGATTGACTTGATGAATATCCGACAGCGATACAAAGAGAGATATGGGAAATCACTCTTCCATGACATTAAAGTAAGTTTTTACAAACTTTAGCACATATTCAGCACTGGCATCACACAGACCATGCCAAGCCCTACCAGAAAAATCCAGAGCGTTAATCTCCATTTAATCACTTGGTTTAAAACAAAACAAAAAAAGCAATGGATAAGAATATTGTATTTTCAGTGCCTCAGGATGACTTTAGTAAGTGAGCAGTGAATTCTTGACTCTCACTCTGTGATTTTGTCCCTCCCCGATGCAAGAGAAGTATATAAATAGGGCAAGACAGTGTATGCTGAGAAATAGTTTGCATGAATGTTTTCTACACTAATTGATAACATCTTATTTTGCACTGTTCCGCAAGGTTAGGCTGATACCACTTTTGTGCACAACTGAAATAAATATCTGGGTTTATCCTCGTACTTAGACAGTACCTTCACAAAAACTATTTCTCTTGTAATCCTGCTGTGTATCTTAAAACTGTGACACTGTTTAATTGTACAAAAATGACTGCAGCCCCGTATCTCCCCCTGGATCGCCCC